TGGGTGGGAGCAGTTAGCTGGGCTGGGGGCAGGAATCGGAGCGAGTGTTTTTCCCTTGGTAGGTGGGTACTCCACACATTTCTCCAAAATGCTGTTGGACCCGCCGCGCAAGCTTGCTCTACATATGTAGATGCAAAGAAAGCTGACACCAAGAATGTCTCCGGACCCGGCTGCGAATCGCACATGGCGCCGCACTGTGCTCTTTGTTCCATGTTGGCCACCACCAAGTCGCTCAAGTGGTGAGCACTCCCGCCATTTCCACTCACAAGAACGACTTGCCTCCTGCCATTCTGACTCATGCTTTTTTTCTATCAAGAGCTGGTTTCTTCTATCACCTATGCTTCAGTGGATTTAATGCTGCCGAAGAGTGCGACTTAACACGGAGCATCGACTGTGACCCGGAGTAGAATAACTTCTCGCGGGGCTATTGTCTTTGGCAAGGCACATTGACCTTTCAAAGCCCGACGACTGCATTTCTATAACATGTCGACACCTCGACAAAGCACAGGCCAATCTGGGAGCAGACACAGATCGACGTTGTCATTACAAAAGACCGAGGTCACAATCCACGTTTACGACCTGCTGCCAGTTCGTAATTACCCCGACGATGAATCACCTCACCTACTTCGTTATGTTGTTTATGTATTGCAGCTACTAATATTGTTATCTTTGGTCAATAGCCAGGAAGACTTTCATCGGTCCTTTGGACTATTGGTGCGTCGCTGCTTCACTCCGGCGTGGTCATCTGTGGTAAAGAATATGCGTATGGTGGCCATGATAAGCGCGGTGTAACTGGTGTTTACTGGACCAAACCCAAGACCGAACCCCCTGGCGGCACGTTTCGATGCGAAATACTGCAGGGATTTACCCTTGCCACTCAGGATGAGATTGATACTGCATTGCGCGCTGCGTCCGAGGAGTTTCTGGGCACATCGTACAACCTTCTGACCAAGAACTGCAACCACTTCACGTCATACCTATGTCAAAAATTGACTGGCAACGCTGGCCCTGCCTGGCTCAACAGGGCCGCGAGTATCGGCGTTGCTCTACCTTGCGTAGTACCTCGAGAATGGATCGAACCACCCGAATACGAAACTGCGGATGGCGAGCTATTAGATGACGATGAGGACGTTGCAGATGAGTCTTCGCGTATGCTTTCTCGGGCCGAGCCACATTTCTTATCCGAAAGGGATGATGCCAGCGTAGAGTGGGATAGCGAGGAAGAGAGGCGGAGAGGTGGAAGCGGGAAAGGGAAACGAGTTGTACGGGATTCCTCTGGGCGAAGCCTTCCAGCAGCAGAGCGAGCCCCGCGGTAGCTACAGCCTGTCGCATGATTTCTGGTGTAAGTTCATTTGGCACGGCGTTTTCGGGTAAAGATACCACATGTGCTGGTTTTGTTTTCTACAGTGAGGCAAAAATGTTTGGCCTCACAACGTGCCTGTGTGTCACGCCCCTCACTTAACATACTGTGATATATCGCATCTACGTTTAAGGCGCCGGGGTACGTTAGTTTATAATTTATAAGATATCTTTCCACTGAAAGAGATTGTTAAGTTCTTTTGCGGGGAAGCTAGGTAGGATGCATCTCAAGGTCTAACACAGTTTTTATATAAACAGCGCTTGTACAATTATATAGTACAGTGGTGACATTCCTAACATTCTCCCTCCTCCCTCCCCGTTTCTCCTCTCGAGTCAGCTAATCCACCCGCGATATTCTTACAGTCGTCTTGGTTTCTCGCTCCTAGTACCGCCAAATTTGATGCGAGTAGAATCCGCGACTCGGACAATCTTTTCCCGCAAAACTTTGCCTTCCGGACTCATCAAGACCTTCACAGCTGCCTCTCGGCCCTGGCCAAACCCTCGCAGCACCAACTCCAATCTTTGAATTTTTATTGGCCACCCAGTATGAATAAGGCGTTCCAAGACGTATTTTGTGAGAGAGTATGCCGAATCGAAGGTTCCACGTCGAGATTTTCGATAGCCAATATTTCCACATGACATAGAGATGATAGGCTCGCGATTCGGTTTTGTACAGGTGATGTGCGTATTGTGCTTGTGGGAGTAGACGTGGAAATGATAGGGTTCTTGAGCATCCTCTCTGCGTTGGGCGGGCTCGAACTTCTGGCCAGAAAGAGCACTCGTGTCAATATTGGACTTGTTGTTTAGCATATCAAACACCATGCTTTGTGAAAGGTCACTCATGGTGTTTGGTGTCGCCCGGTTCCGTGACGTTGATGAGTTATTCAAAACACTGTCTAGAAGATTTTCGGTTTTGGGCCGTGCCTGCACCCGTTTAGGTCTATCCGCATTCGAATCGTTCCATCGTGCCGCCGATTGGCACAAAGTTCGTGACGGTTGGGAAGGACATTTCGTGGTCGTAGCGTATATCCGTCGAAATAATGGCAGCACAGACAGGCGATTTGTCAATGACCGGCTCATTTTTCCAGCATTGCATTCGGATGCAGTACAATGACTTCAGAGATGCGGCCTGCTTCAAAATTCGCAAGATTTTTTCTTTCCCATGGAGTCTGAAGGAACCATCAAGAGCTGCTGGATTGGGCCTCCCCAATGGAAAAAAGTGGCTAGCCGTGGTTTTGCCGATGCTCCGACCAACTGCTGCTGCACCCTCCGCCTGCAGCCGAGATCGCGGAAACCAAAATTTCATTCTCGCCTTGCTTGGAAGCTGTCGGCCCCCCAATTGCTCTCCTGCAACCCTTCTTGTCCACCAAGACGCACTCTGTGGGCTTCTTCCCATTCACCTTCCACAGCATGAATTCCGTCGCTCGAAGCGCTATTAATTCTGAAAATGCCCTATCCCGGGCATCTATTCATGTTGCCAATTCATATAGCAGGTCTCCTGCTTATACGAGGCTAGCCTCTCATCTTTCTCAGACTTCCCGACTCGCCACATCGAGTGCGAATCAGAAGATAAATACTACGAATGTTGTCCTTTCTCCTCTTCGATCTCAGTTTCATCCATCCAATATTCGGGTTGTCCCAATCGCCATTTCGCAGCGCCGACAGTTCCATGTGACCAGAAGGAGTTTGCAAGATGAGAAGCCTGGTAAAGACTCGGCCAAATCTGCTTCAGCCGGCGCCAAGGAATCCGAATCGGAAACCAAGCCTGATGAAGAACAATCAAAGAAGCCTGACGAAGGCGACAATGGCGAACAGTCACAGGACAAGGAAGATGGAAAAGAAAAGAAGGAAGATATGCCTCCGCCGCCGCCTCACGGCGACAAAACTCCCTGGCAGGTATTCATGGAAACTATGAACACCGAGTTTCAAGCATCGAAAGAATGGAATGAATCAACAAAGCAGATCGGCGCCGCTGCCCATCAATTTACTGAGAGCGAATCGGTTCGCCGGGCTCGTGAGGCTTATGAAAAGTCGACTGGTGCCATTACATCCACCACCGCTAAGGCTGTTAAGTCCACCGCTGGAGCGATTGGAAAGGGTGCTTCTTGGACCTGGGATACCTCGGTAATGAAGGGTGTCCGAAAGGCAGCCAATGTCACGGGCGATGCTGTGGACAAAGCCACCAAGCCCATCCGCGACACCGAAGCCTACCAAAATGTAAAGAATGTTATCGACGACGGAAGCTCCTCCAGATATGGCGGATGGGTGGAGAAGGAGGAGCGCAGGAAGAGGAGAGCAATGATGGAACAGCAAAATGGTGCCTCTTCTCAAGTAATGGAGGAAGATCCAAAGTAAGAAGCTTACACATTCACTCTTGACACTTGGCTGTCTAATTACTGACGTATCAATGTAAACTAGTGCGGGAACTAATATCACGCTTCACAAAGATGCCGCTTGGAAGGAGGCTTGGAGAGATTTCCGCGACACCAACAAGTTTGTCCAGGGAATTTTTACCATGAAAGGCCGATATGAGGAATCTGAGAATCCTCTGATATCAACTGCTCGAAGCATAACTGACCGAATTGGAGGTTTCTTTGCCGAGAACGAAACTGCCTTGGTGATCAAGAAGTTCCGATCCATGGATCCCGCCTTCCAGGTCGAGCCCTTCCTGCAAGAACTCCGGGAATATATCCTCCCAGAAGTTCTTGATGCATATGTCAAGGGTGATACGGAAACATTGAAGCTATGGCTGTCAGCGGCACAATTTTCAGTCTATGAGGCGTTGACTAAGCAGTATCTTCAGGCGGGCATGAAGTCTGACGGCCGCATCCTTGATATTCGAAATGTGGATATTCTCCGAGCCAGAATGCTCGATCCTGGTGAGGTGCCTGTGTTTATCATCACTTGCCGCACCCAAGAGGTCCATGTGTATCGCAATGCAAAGTCCAATGAGCTTGCTGCGGGGATGGAAGACAAGGTGCAGCTGGTTACATACGCTATCGGCATTACTCGAGTTCCGGAAGACGTAAACAATCCCGAAACCCGAGGTTGGCGTTTGATTGAAATGCAAAAGAGCGGAAGGGAGTGGCATTAAAATGAAGTCGGTACGAGTTGCAGCGGATCCGGCCACAGTTTTGTTTCCGATTCTCGGCATTTGGGATGGAGTTTGCAAATTCATGTCACATCTTGTATATTATTTTTGTTGCCTACGCGCAACGTACCAGGTTTTTCTAATACCCTGGGGAAAGCATGGGGGGACCGATGGCCTGAAAAGAGAGTATTCGGTGAAAATGGCTTCAGACAGAGCAGTGACTATGGCGAGAGCCAATGTCATGGAAAGATGATACAACACCGCTCTGTTAGTCTTGCCTGGGAGCAAGACGTGTATACATGTATGACTAGGTATAGAAGGTATTCGGCATAGAAAGGGATGTTTCCGCATATCCAAGAACAAAAGTATAACACAAAGTACGTCATCTAATTAGCAGGTCGTGTGTAAGACAAGTAGTCGACACAGCAATAAAAGGAAATCCGTACATAGTTTCTTTCACATAGCGCACATCAAAAAACAAGCTCTTTCTGGTTCCATCTCTGAACAGCAATGCATGCTCGCCAACACAGACAAATTGTTGCAGAAGGGCTCAAGTCTGCAGCGTCTGCTCTCTCAGTAACGACCTCACCTCCATCAAGGCTTTGCCCAGTAAGTTGAGACCCCAATAGGCCCTACGGCGTTCTGCATCTGCTGCCTTGCAGCCGATCCCCCAGATCTTATCGGACGGGCTGGCCTCTACAATCTCGCGGGTGCCGGTTGCGAGGAGCATCTCGCGCAAGCTGCCATCGATCAGGGGTGCGTTGTTGCCCGTGCCCTTTCGAAAACCTTTTTCTGTAACTGCTGCTGTGAACTTCAGGAGGTTTCCCTGCCGAACGATCGCCGTCCTGTGCTTTTTCCATGTCTCGTCTGAGAAGTTCTGAACTTGGCGGCCTAGGGCTTTTGCGTTTCGTGGATGGCCGGCGGCCAGAACTTGGGCTGCCACGGCCTGGTCGTTAAACAAAAGAGCCTTGTGATACATCATGTAACTTGGGAAGTAATTAGCACATCTTTCGCGTAGGGTGGAGAGTCCGCGCCGGGAAGACGGACTGTTCGGCAGTTTCGTATACTATTTTTGGGTTCTTGTCGTCCGTGAAAGGACAGTAGTACCATTGTGAAAGCCATCCGGTCTCTGTATCAGCATCTCGCCAGAAGTAGACTGGATTATCCGCGGTGTTGCTTGACTGGGTCATGTCCAACTTTGGGAGGGAGAGAGTGTGTCTGCTGAGCACAATGGTTTTATGACACAGGTGCGTTGTTGGTGTTGGCTGAGATATATCGGTTGCTTTGGTGGGCTATCATAGATGAAATGAGGGTCTTCTGGTTTACAGATATATTGTTTTGTCCAGGTGTGTTGAACATACGTATGCATGACCTTGACCGTGTGAGTGCTCCATGTCGGCAGTTGCCACTGAAGCGTGACTCTTATGGCTCTTTTCTCTCTTTGGCTCCTTCCCTGTCAGGGAGTAGTGCGGTTGAAATCTGGTTTCAGGCACTCTGCCAACTACGCCGGCTGAGTCAGTGATGTTGGACACTTCATCCATGTGCTCTCATGGGCGTTTTTACCCTTGGTGATATCTTTGTCCATTTGGCGTGTGGTTTTGATGTGAAGTGACGAGGGTGGTCAAATCCAAACGTGAAGGTGGGCGATATTTGTCTAATGTTAGGTGGGTAGCTAAGGTGCTTGGTAGGTAGAGAAGCGATTTGGCTTGTACATTCCGGTCGCTGTATGGAACAATGGATAAAAGCATGGGAGTCTTTGTAGTCAGTTTAAGGCTATCCTTAGTAGCAAAAGGGCACCTAAACTTATTTCACTTAAATACCAAGAATACTTCCAGACTAGTTGACTGCTGGACGCCTACTTACCCTGGGTCTCGTCAATGCGTCCAGGTAGCAAATGGCATGTACATGTACGGAGTAACGGCCTCCTGGTTGGCCAGCTTTCTGCCGTCATTACGTACTTACCTAGTACCTGCGGTAGTATGTATGGGCCTTCGACTAAATGGCGGGGTTCGTTGACATTCGCCAGCTCGCCTTATTCACCATGGATGGACCAAACACTCGCTTTTATATAAAGTCAGGCATCCATCCTAGATATATTCACTCACCCAAATCGCCATCACCACACCGGGATCTACCAACCTCCCCCCCTTCTAGCTAGTGACATTTGTCCCCCCAACTGTTTGCTCTGATGGCCACATCCGCCCCCAAAGTACGCGTCGGGGTGGCAGTTTTTGTGCTGGCCTCAAAGAATGAAGACCAGGAGAACCCGCGCTTTCTCGTCGGCCGACGCAAGGGCTCCCACGGTGCTGGCACAATGGCCCTTCCAGGCGGCCATCTAGAGTTTGGCGAGGAGACCGAGGAATGTGCCACCCGCGAGCTGCTCGAGGAGACTGGACTCAGAGTTGCTGACATCCGGTTTTTGACAGCCACCAATGACTACATGCTCGATGACAATAAGCACTATATCACTCTATTTCACGTCTGCGTCCGGGAGAATGACAGCGATGAGCCTCAGTTGCTGGAGCCGGATAAATGCGAGTCGTGGGAGTGGATTGCCTGGAAAGATTTGTTGGGGTGGATTCAGACTTCGCAAAACACGAGCGCCGAAGACGACGGTTTGAAGCACAAGGTCTTTCTTCCACTTATAAACCTTGTGAAGCAGAGACCGGGTGTTCGTCCAGCTGATGTCTAACCAATAAAGAGCGTTGGGGGACCATCGCGAGCCTCTGCGCAACTATTGATGTAATGGCAGCGAAAACGGTGCTTGAACTGTCAAGATGTATTCGCCGTGCTATAAATACTGGCATAGAAAGCCATGCTCGGTGATGCTGGGACAAATGAGATATGCATGTCTGACTGGGGGGAAATACACCATAGCGTACTACATGAGGGATAGATATGTCACTTGGCCAAGTACATTTTGTTTTACGTAGCACTCTGTGTTGGCAGCTTATTACAAACCAGCCAAAATAAAAGAAGGGCGTGTAGCATTGCGTTCGGGAACCGATGAAGAGTTTGATGGTAGCTCTCATACGCCCATGACCTTTACCACGCAGCATCGCGTCATGTCATTCAACACAGCAGCATCGTGCCTCATCTCCGCGATGACGGCCTCCCTCCGCCCCCACAACGCAAAGGTCCTGGTGCTTGCACATAAGGCTCATGGCCGACTTCAAGCACGTCGGCATATGGACACGCAGAGTGGCAGTTTCAGGCAGTTTGCGGGCTGTGGTGAGCAACGTCATATGGGCCCAGAGGCCTTCAAATCCTTGCATACGGCCTACAGCGGGTTTGTTTCGAAACAAATGTCGGCGGCAAGGGCAAGCTGACTTGGGACGACGATAGGCGAGAAGAAGGCTCGAGGCCCGCGACGATTGTGAAGATGGGAGGAAATCAGCCAGTGGATGGGAGATGGCGCAGGGGACCTGGAGCATGGTTCCCGTGGAAAGCCCCTGGCCAAACGGGCGGGGGGCTGGTGCTGTAGTTCAGCAGAACTACTCCGTACGGGGATCAATATTGCAAGCTTGCAAGGGGTTCAATTTTGGCGTCGTGGCGCGGACGGGAGGGCGACAGAGACGTGCGTGTGCCTTTCGGTGGCATTTCTTCCCCAGCGCGTTGCCAAACGACGGGCGCGTGGCAAGGGACCAATAACAGAGCAAGGCTGGTGTCGCGCTTCCTGGCGTCTCACGAAGCAAGTGCTTCCATGTGTCACGCCACGGCGTCCCCCATAGCATCCAATGTTGCAGCCGTTGACAGGCGGCATGGTCCATAATCCGCCACAACGCAAGACCGACATGAGCAGACCGGAGGCACAATCAACATTGAAAGGTCTCGACTCTCTGGCCTCTCTGGGCCGGGAGGCAAACGGGCCGGTGCAGGCAGGGCGAGCTGGAGAGGCTTTTGGTGGCTCTGCAATTTCCCCAGCCGCCCGTCGTGGGAGACTTTTGGTCTCAAGCGACGGAGTACCAGACCCTTTTCTCCGTTCAGGTCCTACTTTGGGCCAGTCCGGTCAAGTTGCTCGTGTAGTTAAGCGCCGGCGGGCAGCCGCCATGATGCACCAAGATACTCCGTACAGGCCAGCATCTTGCCGTCTTGTGGCTGGGAAGAAGGCAGCCGACAGCGCACAAGATGCTGCCGGGGATTGCCGTCTTACCTTCTTTCCCCCCCCCCCCCCGTCTTCCTTTTTTCAATCTACCTCTTCCTTTTTTTTTTTTTTTTTTAGTAGCGTTCGGCCCTGATAGCTCACCTTTGCATTATAATTAGCCGCCAGTATGGATCTCGCTCAGCCTCCTGCAATCTAGTGCAACGCCGCTGTCACTGTCAATGCCACTCTCCGTATCACCTTGGGTGCAGCTGCCTTTGCGGTTGCCGTGGCGTCGACAAGAGACAGTAGACAAGAGGCCAAGACGCGATGGACGCGTCAGGAAATCGTCGAGACGTCGTTGCGTGTCGAGTCGTGGGCAACGCGATGGCGTTGTCCACGGCCCAACGTCCAATGCCCAAGGTGCATCGAGCCAACACGCGCACAAAGGCGAGTTTAGACTCTGCATCTAAAAATGAGTCATTGACGGCAGAAAGCTGGCCAACCAGGAGGCCGGCGCCTGCAGCAATCCGCACAATCCCAGAACCGTGCATGTGGAGCCCTGATCACCTTGACTATGCTTCGGTTCCTCGGAATCCTGGCCCTTGTCCTCCCACCTCGATGTGCGAGGCGTATGGATGGAGCATGGAGCATGGAGCATGCACTCCGTATGTGCATCTACTCCGTACGCCATGGTCGATATCCATGGACACGACCAACCTGCAGTTGATCTGTATAAACACGTCGACACTTTGTTCACGTACCAGTCGCGGAAACACCAATGCGTGCATGACAATGACCCGTATCACATCTCTTGCCCGTGCTGGAGGCTCACGAGTTGATGCCCACTTACACGTTTCTTCTGGGCAAAAGCCAAGAGTTTCTTTCTTTTCGTGTCGGTCTTCTGACAACCGAGACTATCCCATCGGGTCTCTTTCGCGTTTCACACCTGTCAACCTCTGTCGCCAAGGCGGCTGTTTTCGTGGCGAGTCCACCGACGGTCCCTTGTGAGCCATGTCTAAATCCTTGCTGCGGCTTCCTATTCGCGTCCCATCTCAACTACACCAGCGACCATGCCAATGAGGTAGTACTCTGCACTTGTCTTTCCTATCCCGCCTTTTACTATTCCGAGTGCGGCGCGCCTAATCGTTACCCTCTCACACGGCATGTATACCTGGATACGCACGCCCCCCGGTCGACTATGCTGTAGCCGCACATGTCTACTCCTCCATCAGGCTCATGGCGAGAATAAGAAGTCGGCATCATCCCTCCAACTTCCCACCTCGTTTTCTGTTTCCCAATCGTTTCGTGACTGCCGTTCTCTTCTTTTCTTCCCTTGCCACGAGGCCTCCTAACCCACAGGTGGCCGCATATACTGGCCTTGCATCACTCAACTGGTTTCTGCCTTGTTCTCATTGCCCAGTCATTTCGTTATATTACACTGCATTTTGCTTCTCATGCTTAGACAAGCGCTGGCCGCAACAAAGAATTCGATAATCTCTTGCTTCTCTGGGCGAATTTTGACCCCTCAGTTCACGACGCGCACTCATTCAACTCGGCCTCGCTGTATCTCTCTACCTCACGTACCGCCTGCCACTTGCATTGATATACCTCCTGGAGCTGGACTCGAGTTCATCTAATCAGCATTTCTTTCATAATATTCATTCCTCCGACTCCCAAGTTACCATGTCTGCGTAAGCTTCCTGCTTGCTTCACTGTGAACACATCTCTTTCGTTGGGCATTCGACTAATTCTTCATTCTCATAGTCTGGAAGCGGGCGTCGCCTTCAACTTTACCTTTCCTTCTCCCTCTACGCCGCCTTCACAAGACGCATTTACAATAGATCCAGCATATTCATTTGATCCTTCACTCTTGGAGCTACCATGTGTCCGTCCTCATGCTCGATCTTCGTCCAAGGCGTCTTCCATATACTCTACTGTGTCCACAGTAGAGTCTACTCCAGACTCAGCTTGCACCAGGCTGACGACACCTCCCCGAGCCAGTCCTCCCGTTCATCAACATGGCCCGGTCTTGCTGCCCAAGATTCGCCATCAGGACCAGCATATCGATGCGTGTCACCCTGCTCATCATACTCCCCAGCATACTCC